CTGTCAGGTTGACCTAGCCTTGAGCGGGTACCGGGTGCAGTCCCAGGAAGTAAAGGCAGCGGGCGTGATGCTGAACACATCACCCATCTTGTGCTGATTGGTTCATCAAAATATAGGTCTAGCCCTATATGCTTAAAGGGGTGGAAAAGGGACCTTTCCTTTTTTTTCCCATCTTTATTAGAAGAACGGTCACAAGAATATTTTCTTCCTCTTCCGGCCTATACTACTTATGCTATAAAGCAGTGATTCCCAAACTGTGCACTGGGGAACCACGACCTCTTAACAGGGGCGCCGCAAAATTTTTAGAGATACATTAAAAACAAAAAATGTCTTACTAATGAATAGTCATACTTTTACTAAGGTTAGGGCGCCGTGGGAAAATTTTAATTGAAAAGAGGCGCCGCGACTAAGAAAGGTTTGGGACACACTGCTGTAAAGTGTTGCAGGGAGGAGTTGGATGTGGTTTCTTGTCTTTTGCTAGTTGCATTGATTGTTAATGTCATACTGTGTTTCTGTAGTGTCTCTTTTACTTCCTCCACCCATCTCTTTCTTGGTCAGCCTCTTGCCCTGTAGCCTGCTGATCTCATGTAGTCCGCTCTAGCTGCTGGCTGCTTTTTTTTTCATTCTGACCAGATGACTAAACCATTTGATTCTTTGATGTTTTTTATGAAATCATTCCCCAGTGCTGCGCCTACTATTGTACCTAGTTCTCCATTGATGACTTTGTCTCTTCTTGTTTTCCCTGCCGAATTTCTTATACATCTGACATCACATGCTGTAATGGTGCATTATGTTTTACTAGGAATGTCCATGTCTGGCACTGATAGCACAAAGTTGGAACAAACTTTTTAGCTACCTGTTTATGTGCATTTTGATATTTTGATGCATCTAAACTAGCACTGTTTGGTAATTTATGTTGTTGGCCTTCTGTATTATGTTTTCAATTTCTCCGATCCTCTATTGTCTATGAAGACACTGCCTAGATACCTTAAACACCTTACTTTATTGTCTCTCTTTGAAAAGTGATAACAGGTTGAACTGGTGTTCGATTTACATGAAAGGTAATGTAATCAATACCACAGCAGCTGCTAGTACTACTCAGAAAATTTCTTGGTATCAATTTCAGGTTGGGTCAACTTGAACCCCAGGCCAATTAAAACCTCTCGCCGACGCGGGGATTTGACGTATGATTAGCGGGCTGTTGCAATAGCCACCAGACAACCAAGTTCCCGTAAACTTTTGCATACAAGTCAACCCCAAGATTTTTAGCTCAACCTTTTAGAATTAGGCCTATTCCTACAAAACACATTTTGCAACTGTCACTCCTGTCTGTATTCGCCGCCATTAAAAAAAAAAAAGGTGGTGTAGATGGGGGTCATGAGCATTAATACTTAGGATCCTGTGGCTTGTGCTGTCGCCACAGACATTTTTTGCCCTAACAGAAAAACTATATAACATTATACCAGGGGTCGAAAGGTCTCCCACATTGGAGCCACATGTTATAATCGCTCCTCTAAACTGAGAAGTACTAAGTAAAGGATACCCATCATTGTCCTGTTTGGGCATCATATATCACATAGGCTGGCACTCTATTCCTCCATTCTGTTCTATTTGTGCAATCAATTCAACAGCATGCTGGAAATCCACGATTTTTACCCGCCACATCCGCCTGTTTTAAATAAATATTTTACTCGTCAAAACAACTTATATGCCACATTTGACGGTTTCATTGTTATGTTTACACACTCATGGAAATCCCTTTAGAGACTTGAGTCAAATGTTAACAGTGAAAACAAAACTGATTTACAGACGTGAACTGATTATGTTTAATCACATATCAAAAACTGCTGAAGGCAAGTTTACACATAGAAAAATGTGGTGCAGCTCCGGAGCTGTGCTAAATTTACACTGATCTAAAGTCTTGATTCTGACCATACTTAAATGTATGCACATCATTAAATCTGGTGCCGGCCATAACTGGTGTTTGAACAAATACCAGAAACTTTGTGTGCCACAAGAAAACTTGGCGCAGCCAGTAATTATGTTTAATTATTTATCGAAAACCCAGTTTAGTGCCAGGTCCGGTTCAAACATATCAATCAAGAAAACCCAGTTTAGTGCCAGGTCCGGTTCAAACATATCAATCAAGAAAACCCAGTTTAGTGCCAGGTCCGGTTCAAACATATCAAGAAAACCCAGTTTAGTGCCAGGTCCGGTTCAAACATATCAAGAAAACCCAGTTTAGTGCCAGGTCTGGTTCAAACATATCGAGTTTAGTCAGGTCTGGTTCAAACATATCAAGAAAACCCAGTTTAGTGCCAGGTCTGGTTCAAACATATCAAGAAAACCCAGTTTAGTGCCAGGTCCGATTCAAACATATCAAGAAAACCCAGTTTAGCGCCAGGTCAGGTTCAAACATATCAAGAAAACCCAGTTCAGACAAAACATTTTATGTGAGAGGGGAAAACAAAATCATAAAGAAGTAACATTTGTGTTGTGTGAACTGTACAAAGAGGTTTATACAGAACAAACTACTACCACCTTTATACATTGTCTACATGAGAAGCACACGCATCTCAACTACATCCCTTCGAACTGGCTTGCACCAAGCTTTGAAAGGACTAATAAAATATACAAAACTGTAAATTCCTTATGAAAATATTCTATTATACAGTCCTACTAGTCATAAACAAAGAACAGCACAAAGTATAAATTGTTATCTGTGCAAAGATAGTTCCCAACACAATCAATCTGTATTGGCTTTTTGTTTTAAACAATACTTTGTGCTATTTCTTTACTCATTCCACTTTTTCCTTTTACCATGAGCTTTGCTGCAGTTAAAAGCGTATTTAAAAAAAGCTGCAAATGACAATTGCGGAATACGTATCTTTAACAACAGAGTTGAAACAACTACACATCAAATCTGTATCAATATTTACAATGTCTACAGGAAATAATAAATGTGCGGGAGACAAACAAGATCCAACAGTGGCTGGGTGTTTGCATGCGACAAGCGAGGATGCTGCTCTGTTGCTATAATTATCACATGACATGAGTGAGGACAGAATCCCTGTCTATATCCACAAATAATGATGATGATGATGATGAATCTCTTGTTTTCTGCTGGTGGGCATCCTCTGTATGTCTTGGACCAGCTGTCCCAACACAGACTGTCCAGATCTGCACTAACTAGATGTGCAAAGTCTAGACACACATATAATGTCCAGATCTGCACTAACTAGATGTGCAAAGTCTAGACACATATACTGTCCAGATCTGCACTAACTAGATGTGCAAAGTCTAGACACACATACTGTCCAGATCTGCACTAACTAGAGCAAATCTAGCATACTGTCCAGATCTGCACTAACTAGATGTGCAAAGTCTAGACACACATACTGTCCAGATCTGCACTAACTAGATGTGCAAAGTCTAGACACATATACTGTCCAGATCTGCACTAACTAGATGTGCACTGTCTAGACACATATACTGTCCAGATCTGCACTGTCTAGACAAGTGGTCTCCAACTGTTTCAGCCGGCGCCCCTCTTGAGAACATGGCAAGACTCCCCACACTCCAAAGATAACAAAAAAGGTCCCAGTAAATCTATAACTAAATGTAGGCCTTAATAATTAGATTGTTAACAGAAGATGAACAAATGCTCATTAAAACAAAAACACTCTCGGCTTTTTGTTTTATAAATAAATGTAAAATATTTTACTTGATAGTTAAACTGGAAAAGAAATTTTAGTATGACGGACTACTACAAGTACAGATGCACCCATTTTCATAACTGTTTGAGGTCCCCTTGGAACTTCCTCACGACCCCTAGGTTGGAGACCACTGTCTAGACACATTTGCGGTCTAGACATCTACGCGTCTAGACACATACGCTGTCTAGATACTCACTGTCGAGACACATACGCTGTCTAGACACGTGCATTAGTGTTTGGTCTGGCCATGGGCAGGTACAGAACTAGAGCTAAGATTCAGAGTGTGCCCTTCCAGCATGAACAATCCGGAGTGATCTAGACAAGCTGGTCAGAGATGGTAGAGCGGAGGATAATATCCAACTGACAATGATATAAATTAACTCTTTCAGTCACAAGAAATGTGCCACAGGCTCTTTCCTACGAGTTCCAGCCATCATGCTGTGTGTTTTTTTTTTTAAATCTGGTCAAACATGCCGAAAAAATCTGACTTCTTCAGAGGTCACTTCCACTGTTTTTCTAGAATGAAAATGTCTTAGTGACTTTAACACACAGGTTATTTGTTTCCAGGGGCTTCTGGGCCAAAAATTTGTTAGGGACAGCAAGAGTTAAGATTGGCCAGCAGGTTGTGAGTTGAGACACATGCCTAGCTTGATTGATCGACAATGACAGAGTTTACCGAACGACAGAATGATGCAACATGCGTCCAGTTTACAGAGACCTGTAATATCAACCATGATTACATGGCAGCATCAAATACATGTACTCTTCTTACAGCAAACAGAAGGTGGCCAAATGAATCACAGATAGACCTCAAAGAAGAAGAAGCCAGACTACCAACCGACTGAGTCCTGAAGATGATGACGCTTGAATACCAACACCATGTGTGTCAAAGATGTTGCCCTGATGACCAACATCATAAGACCCAAAGAGGAAGATGTTTGACTACGACGTGCTGAGAAATGAAGAAGATGACACCTGACCACCAACACCCTGAGCCCCAAAGAAGATACCCGACCGACTGACCATCCTGTACAGTAAAGGCCGTGCACCCTGTAAATACCAGAATTCAAGAGACTGTAGGTCAGTGTGAACAGTCAAAGTCCTCACCCCAAGAACCACACCACAGCTGGAGGCAGTAAGGTAACGGCAACATACAAGAACACATGACACTTAATGTGATAAATGACAATGCCAACAAGGTGAGAGAGAGGGGGGGGGGGGAAAGAGGGTACCGACACAGAAATGTCAATTAACAATAAATAATTTAATGGAAAATATGATACATCAAAGTTTCAACTCGTTTGCTATTTTGGATGCTATGTTCTTGAAGCCTATGGAAGTGCCAGAAATGCGCTTGAAGCGGACACCGTTGAGAGACAAACGGGGCAGCTTGCACACCTCCATCTCCCACTGCACCAGGCTGTCAGTGTTGGGGTCACCGTGCACACACAGGAGCAGGAACCTCTCTCGCTGCTCGTAGTCGCAGTTGTTTGCGTCCAGGACCTGAGGATGTTGCAAGGTCATAAATGCAGGGAAAATTCAATTTTTCATTCAAATTTTAAAATAAAATACCAATAATATTCTAGAAATTTAGGAATTAAAAAAAAAAAAAGTTAGTTGCATATCCTTTACAGAACAATGTAGAACCAACCCAAGCATTTTTTGGCTGTTGTGGTTTTTTTCTAGGCAAATTCAAGTTCAGTAGTTTGCCATTGCTTTCTGAATGGTCAGCTCTTGGTACCACTGTCAAAACCAATGCAAGACAAACCGCCCAGAGCTGGGAAAGAACCCGGCACACTGGCATTATGAAGCGCATTCGCAACGCCTAAGCTACAGACATTTATGACATAACACTGTGATAAACAGTATACACAAAAGTTGGTAAGGTCTTTCTTTAAAATGACAAATGCACACTGGGCATATTATATTTTTCACAGAACAGATGTGACATTTTTCACAGAACAGATGTGACACTTTTCACAGAACAGATGTGACATTTTTCACAGAACAGATGTGACATTTTTCACAGAACAGATGTGATATTTTTCACAGAACAGATGTGATATTTTTCCCAGAACAGATGTGATATTTTTCCCAGAACAGATGTGATATTTTTCCCAGAACAGATGTGATATTTTTCACAGAACAGATGTGATATTTTTCACAGAACAGATGTGATATTTTTCACAGAACAGATGTGATATTTTTCACAGAACAGATGTGATATTTTTCACAGAACAGATGTGATATTTTTCACAGAACAGATGTGACACTTTTCACAGAACAGATGTGACATTTTTCCCAGAACAGATGTGATATTTTTCACAGAACAGATGTGATATTTTTCACAGAACAGATGTGATATTTTTCCCAGAACAGATGTGATATTTTTCACAGAACAGATGTGATATTTTTCACAGAACAGATGTGATATTTTTCACAGAACAGATGTGATATTTTTCACAGAACAGATGTGATATTTTTCACAGAACAGATGTGATATTTTTCACAGAACAGATGTGATATTTTTCACAGAACAGATGTGATATTTTTCACAGAACAGAATAACTGAGGCAGTCAAATGTGGATCCAAAGGTCGTGGATTCTGGTCCTGATGGAGCCTGGCGTTTTCAAAAAATGATCTCGGCTCACAGATGGACCCAGCTTTAAAAAGGTATCAGGTTAATTCCTGGAAAGCAAAGACGGCTGGCATGACGTTTACCATACCCATACCAGCCACTGAGTGCCGATTGGTCTATAAAATACATGTCTATCACTATATGCCAAATAGGCCTGATGGTGTGGGAACAGGTCCTTTATCTCAAAAGTCAGTCCAGTAAAGAATGGAGCAGGAAGGTTCAAAACGGCATGACATCAGTGTGCTTGACCGGGTCACACTGTTTTGAAAATTCCTACTCCAAAAGAAAAAGAGGAGGAGAAGAAAGCAAAAAGAAGAGGAGAATAGAAAGAGCAGAAGAGGAAGAAGCAGAAAAGAAGAATAGGATGACACAAAGACAGTAGAAATAGGACAACACATGGGTGATCACCATCACACGTGCTCACCTTCCGAATCTCCTTCATCATATCATTGGGGTCCATGGCACTGGTGGTCTTCATGGACCAGGTGAAGCGCAGCGACCGAGGCTTGATGCCGTCCAGGTCCCTCGTCTCCCCAGACACAGACCTGCGGAAAACGTGGCTGCAAATTTAGAAACAAAAACTGTGACTGGCAGTGACACCCGGACCAGGCTGGAAGCCAAAAGCATGGGGACGGTTGTTATAGTTAGTAGCAGTATTCTAGACCTACATTACCATACACCATATTTACTACACAGTAACATTACCATACACCATATTTACTATACAGTAACATTACCATACACCATATTTACTATACAGTAACATTACCATACACCATATTTACTATACAGTAACATTACCATACACCATATTTACTATACAGTAACGTTACCATACACCATATTTACTATACAGTAATGTTACCATACACCATATTTACTATACAGTAACGTTACCATACACCATATTTACTATACAGTAATGTTACCATACACCATATTTACTATACAGTAACGTTACCATACACCATATTTACTATACAGTAATGTTACCATACACCATATTTACTATACAGTAACGTTACCATACACCATATTTACTATACAGTAACGTTACCATACACCATATTTACTATACAGTAACGTTACCATACACCACATTTACTATACAGTAACGTTACCATACATCATATTTACTATACAGTAATGTTACCATACACCATATTTACTACACAGTAACGTTAACGTACACCATATTTACTATACAGTAACGTTACCATACACCATATTTACTATACAGTAACGTTACCATACACCATATTTACTATACAGTAACGTTACCATACACCATATTTACTATACAGTAACGTTACCATACACCATATTTACTACCATACACCATATTTACTACACAGTTACCATACACCATATTTACTACACAGTAACATTACCATACACCATATTTACTACACAGTAACATTACCATACACCATATTTACTACACAGTAACATTACCATACACCATATTTACTACACAGTAACGTTAACATACACCATATTTACTATACAGTAACGTTACCGTACATCATATTTACTATACAGTAATGTTACCACACACCATATTTACTATACAGTAACGTTACCATACACCATATTTACTATACAGTAACATTACCATACACCATATTTACTACACAGTAACGTTACCATACACCATATTTACTATACAGTAACGTTACCATACACCATATTTACTATACAGTAACATTACCATACACCATATTTACTACACAGTAACGTTACCATACACCATATTTACTATACAGTAACGTTACCATACATCATATTTACTATACATTAACGTTAGCATATATCATATTTACTATACATTAACGTTACCATATATCATATTTACTATACAGTAACGTTACCATATATCATGTTTACTATACAGTAATGTTACCATACATCATATTTACAATACAGTAACGTTACCATATATCATATTTACTATACAGTAACATTACCATATATCATATTTACTATACAGTACATTACCATACACCATATTTACTATACAGTAACGTTACTATACCACAGAGCAGGGCTATTCAACTAGGTTGGCCCAGGGGCCAAAATGGGGATTGTCAGAGGCTAGAGGCCTAAGCAGAAAATATCATTATTACAATACAACTGTCAGTTATCCATGGGCCACTTGCTAAGCCTAGTTCAGATTTGGCCCGCAGGCCACCAGTTGAATAGTCCTGCTATAGATCAACTTTATCATACAGGTATCTGCCATAAAACTACTTTACCATATAGTAAATTTACCATGTGGCAACTTTACTATAGCAAATAAACCATATAGCAACTTTACCATATAGCAAATATACCATACAGTGTATTTACTATGTACCAACTATACCATACAACAAACTTACTATACAGTGAAGCTACCATATAGTAATTTTTTTGTACAGTGTATTTACCATACAGCAACTAACTGCAAAGCAACTTTTATGCACAGCAACTTTTATGCATAGCAACTACACTATATAGCACTGTTACCTTATAGCAGCTATATTACATGGTAAATTTATCATACAGCAACTATATTACACAGAATTCTTACTATATAGCAAGTATATTATGTAGCAAATTGACCATAAAGCAATAAAATTCCAATTGTGTGAGTGTGTGTGCGCACACACACACATGTGTACATAAGGGTTTCTACGGCTGCTAAATGGCCGGAAAACAATCATTTAACATCATTAAAACACACACAAAACAGTCTGCCAACAAACAATCGAATAACATCTATTAAAACATACACAAAACAGTCTATTAAAAAAACAGCAAGTATGATAAGTTGTTGTTGCTGCAAAATTATATATCTGACAATCATAAACTTAAAGACGTTTGCTTTCCAAAAAACACTAACTACAACAGTTTGAGTTTCGTTTTAGTTAGCAGATAAGAAATATGTTCCCACTTTTTAATGAACCAATGGGAGTAGGGTAGTGTAGCAGCTAGATGCTCGCTTGCCGAGCCCATGGTCTCAATTTCAAATCTTCATCAAAACAGATCCTGTTCAAAAGCAATCTTGGCTCCTAACCTAGAATGTAGACCAAGTAGTGACCTGGGGAAGGTGGCTAGCGTGATGCTCACCACATCACTCATCGAACACTAATCGGGCGTCGGATACGATAAACCACCTGTTGGAACTGGGTACTAAATGAAGTCAAGCATGCAGCAAAAGGCCGCAGGGTAAAGAAAGGAGATACGCCTAACAACTCTTATGGTGTGGGTTGAGTACTGAAACACTGAGATGGCTGCTGCATTGAAGGACGGAGTAGGTGTGGGTTGTTGTCCCGATGTGTTAGGATGTTGACTCAGGAAACAAGCATCAAGGACCAGTCCTATCAGGACTGAAAACTTCACCAAAAAAAGTGATTAACAGTGGAATAACCCCGAGAGACATGCGTTGCAAGCAGTCGGCCATAATACACGACACACACACAGAGAAAGCTACATAGATCATAACTATAACCATGGCTCGCCAAAGTAGGCTGTGCAAATGTTCCCAGGACACCCCCCCCCCCCTTTTTTTTTCCTCCAAGGAAAAAAAGAAGAAGAGAGAATTGAAATATTTCGGCTACATTAAAAGTCCCTTTTAAAAAATATACTGGAAGGACAGTCAACGGGTAAGAGAGCTAGATGCAGACAAGGATAGAAGTAGGAGGACAGCATCAAGAGATGGACAGACAGCTGTTTGAGAGAGTGCACAACCAAGACAAGAGACAGGGGGCTGCGTGGTCTCGAGGCATGGTGTCCGCCTCGAGTGCTAGAGGTTTCAGGTTCAATCCCTGGAAAAGAGTAGCCTAACAGCGCTGCCTGGGCAAAATTTTGAGTTTAAAATCTACCTAAAGTATTTCAGGATCCTCACCGGTGCCACAGAGCCTGTGCACTGTGCTGAGTTTCTTCAGACTCAGACTTGAGTTAGAAGAAGAATGGAGAACTTATGGGTTACTACCTGTGTGCCATGATGTTGATCCGTTGTTGAAACTTCAAAACAAGAAACCGCTTCATTCTGCTGCTCACCAAACAGTTGAAAATGTTAGCACAACTCGTGTAGTCATGATATTAAAATGACCAGAATATGTCCAATTGTCTGTGTATATATAAGTTGTTCATAGTGTTCAGTTGTAGCCATGTGTATTTCTTTTTCCTGCAATGAAGTTAAATCATTTGTTTTTACCCTGTAGGATTCTGATGTTAACCTTCAGTGGCAGAGGTCAATTCTGATGTAAACCTCAGTGACAGAGGTCGATTCTGATGTAAACCTCAGTGACAGAGGTAAATTCTGATGTAAACCTCAGTGACAGAGGTAAATTCTGATGTAAACCTCAGTGACAGAGGTCGATTCTGATGTAAACCTCAGTGACAGAGGTCGATTCTGATGTAAACTCAGTGATAGAGGTCAATTCTGATGTAAACCTCAGTGACAGAGGTCGATTCTGATGTAAACCTCAGTGACAGAGGTCAATTCTGATGTAAACCTCAGTAATGGAGGTCAATTCTGATGTAAACCTCAGTGAAGGGGTCAATTCTGATGCAAACCTTAGTGACAGAGGTCAATTCTAATGTAAACCTTAGTGACAAAGGTCAATTCTGATGTAAACCTCAGTGACAGAGGTCAATTCTGATGTAAACCTTAGTGACATAGGTCAATTCTGATGTAAACCTCAGTGACAAAGGTCAATTCTGATGTAAACCTCTGTGACAGAGGTCAATTCTGATGTAAACCTCAGTGACAGAGGTCAATTCTGATGTAAACCTCAGTGACGGAGGTTAATTCTGATGTAAACCTCAGTGACGGAGGTCAATTCTAATGTAAACCTCAGTGACAGGGGTCATGGGAAGTGTAACCCGTTACATTTTGGATTTCTATTGATCCAGGGAAGGTAGTCCCTGCATTTACAGCTTCACTATATTCGTGTTGATTGATTACCCCTTTACACAGACATTTACAATCAGCTAGACACTCGCTTGCAGATCGGAAGGTCATAGGTTCAGATCATGACGGAGCCAAGCTTAAAAAAAATGATCATGGCTCCCAGGTCAAGTCAGCCTCCAATGGGTACCAGATACAGTCCTGGGAAATAACGGTGATACAGTCCTGTGAAATAACGGTGATACAGTCCTGGGAAATAACGGCGATACAGTCCTGTGAAATAAGGGTGATACAGTCCTGGGAAATATTGGTGATACAGTCCTGGGAAATAATGGTGATACAGTCCTGTAAAATAAGGGTGATACAGTCCTGGGAAATAATGGTGATACAGTCCTGTAAAATAAGGGTGATACAGTCCTGGGAAATAATGGTGATACAGTCCTGGGAAATAACGGTGATACAGTCCTGAGAAATAACGGTGATACAGTCCTGTGAAATAACAGTTAGACAGTCCTGTAAAATAAGGGTGATACAGTCCTGGGAAATAACGGTGATACAGTCCTGGGAAATAACGGTGATACAGTCCTGTGAAATAACGGTGATACAGTCCTGGGAAATAATGGTGATACAGTCCTGGGAAATAACGGTGATACAGTCCTGAGA